CCTCTACACCCTAAGAATAGTAAAAAAAGTTTAAACAGCAAAATCAGGAAAAAACTTAATTCCCTAGCTAAAATTAAGGGACAATTTAATCCCTGTATCTCATACTGCTAGTCTAACTAGGGAGTTCAAAATATATAAATGACTTCTCACAGATTAGTTTTTATTTGTTTTCTTTAAAGTGGCTCTTCTTTTTCTGTCAAATGTTTCTGTTTAATTATATCACTAAAATGAATTTTGGGAAGCCTCTTCATTTTTAACTTATTTTTAATTGAAATATTGATGAAATAAAAATAAATTTAACTTAAATAGTATTATATTTTATAAGGGAACTTTAAGGGGTTTTACCAACTGAGGTACAACTATTAATAATTCAAAGAAATTACATTATGGGTTGCTTGTAATGGAGGTTGAGTTACTTGCTTCACCTAAACAGGGAAGTTGGCATGTTTGCCTAGCAACAGCCGCTAAAACCTTCTGTTGTGGAAGGTTCCCTAGGAGTGAGAAGAAGGGAGGAGGAGGAAAAGCAGTAGGAAAAGATTAATCTGTTTTTCTTAGCAGGGAACAGAGGCCTGGTTTAAGTAGGGAAAGGCTATCCAAGAGATAGCTTTTAGGTTAGCATGTGCTAACCTAATGCCCCCCACCCCCACCACATAGAAATTTACTCCTTGTAGGACTGGGGTTACAATTTAGTAGGTTAAAGAAAAGGTTACAGATTTAGCCCACTTCAAAGACAGCAAATTCCAATCAGTAGAAAGACATCAATGGGTCTTCTAAAAATAAGCTGAAATCTCAGTAGCAGGAAGGTGTTAACAACTAAAAAGCACTCTTCTGCTGAGTTTAGGAAGGTGTGTGATTATGTTTTACACATAATATAAAAATACTGTTACAGTGATTCCAATCTATCAAGGTAAAGGCAGAAATATTTTTCTTGATATTGGTGATGAATACAGTGAAAAAAGGACAGAAGAAAAACAAAACCTCTGCTCTCTTGGCCAAGATTTGAAACAAAAAAGGTGACAGTGCAGAGTGGTAAGTATTAAATGGCTGTTAATTTGGGGACTCTCCTGTATTCTAGACAATTTATTTTGAAATTAGTACTGAATGGTATTAAAAGAATTCCATTTCTCCCCCTTCTCAAAAGCAAGAGTTTAGCTAAACCGAGATGTCTTGAAGGGGTCTCTCATTCCCCAAAAACAAAACAGCATCTTTTCCACAAGGGACAAGAAACTTTAAAGAGCTACAAGGTTAGATTCTAGAGCCAGCGGCTCTTCTATGGGCTGATCATCTGCTGTCCTTCCCAGATAGCTCTTCCTGTTCACATAGGCCTGGGGAGAGGTTTTGGAGTAGGGAGTGTCCGGGCTCTTGGGCTGTTTCACCGTCTTGGGAGGCTGAACTCTTTTGGGACTGTGCGAGAGGGGTGACAAGGACAAAGCTGGTGAGGTCGAGAACCTGGATAATATGGAAGAATAAACAAATGGGGTGCGGGGGAAGATGTCAAAGAGAAACAAGAGTTGAGGGACAAGAGCTGAGAAAGCCAAAGGGGCAGCGTGGGATTTGATTGAGACAACAGAAATTTTCCAGTTCACCCTTGCCGTCTGGCCACTTGTGCGCTGGGCCCACAGCCGCTGGCGGGGAGCGCAGGACGGACGGACCAGTTCCTCGGCTCAGGGCGTGTCTGCGCTTCGGGTCGAGGCGGCGAGCGTCGCCGGCCTCTCGCGGGCGTTGGTGCCGGCTGACTCAGAGATCTCCTCCCGCGCCCACCCCGCCCCGCCCTCCACTTGCCCCGCCTCCCAAGGAGGAGCCTCGTCCTCATCTCCGCCCCAGTCTCCGGGGCGGGCCGGAGCCCGAGGAAGAGGAAGGGGACGAGGACAACGAGCAACTGGGCGGCGGAGGACAAGGAGGAGGAAGAGGAGGCAGACCAACAAGATGGCCCCTGCTGCAGGAGCAGCCTCAGCAGCAGCAGGTGGGAAGCCGGAGGCGGCGCTGGAGGTGGCCGCGGCAGCCGTGGCCCGGCGGCCTGGGACAGAGTCAGAGTCGACGGTGGCAGCGGCGGCAGCGGCGGCTGCCGTGGCAGTGTCGACGGCCGCGGGGACTCGGAGCTGAGAGGAGCTGCTGCTCGGACCAGCGCGGTGAGCGGGCGGCGGGCGGCGGCGTGGGGAGCGGGGCGGCCGCGGGCCACGGCCGGGAACAATAGGCGGCCGCGGCTGGAAAGGGGCTGTCTTCGCCCGCCCTCTGCTCCTGGCGGCAGCGGCAGCCCGGCCGGGCCCAGACCCGCAGGGGCCCCGCCGGCGGCCTGCGGGCTTGTCAGTGGCCAGCGTCCTCTAGGCCTCAGGCCTCTGCGCGCCGCCGGCGAGGCCTGCCGGGGTAGGTAGGCCGGGGGGAGGTACGGACGCCGCCCGGACGAGGGGAGGGCGAGGAAGGCTTGGGCGAGAGGGAGGGGGCCCAGAGGCTGCCGGGCTCCTGTGTTACTCCTAGGGCCTGGGACGGGCGGAGAGTGCGCACAGGAAGTGCTTTTTGGACCCCCTGTCTGCGGGGTTGGGGGAGGGCGACGGCGTCTGTAAACAGGCGCGGTCTCTGCCTCCCGGCACCTCGGGGCTGCTCCTCCCCCCACCCCCTCAGCGCTCCCCTTCCTCGGCCAGCTGGCTTTCCCGGTGCCTGTTGCCCCGGAGCGCCCGGAGATCAAGCCTGATAGTCTTCTTTCTCCCTGGTGGCGATGGGAAAATTGTGTGTGCAGGTGTCTTTCTTTTTAAGAAAACTCAAGTGCCACAACAACAAAAAATACACAAAAAGTGTTTATCGATGAGGGTTGGAATGGTAAGGGATGTTCCTCTCTAAACATGTCTAAGCATCAGTTCTCTCTGAACATCGGTTATGCCCAGTTATCAAGTCCCAGGTGATAGTGAATTGAAACAAGGGCTCTTCTGGAGCAGTAATAATGTAACTCTTGACATCCCAGAATAGTCCATGAAACTGGAAACAAAGGCACTTACTGGCAAGGCGGAGACAAACTGTAATATTTGAATAGAACTTTTCTTAAAACGAGCCGTTTTGAATTATTAATGTGCAGTATAAGAAGCAACATTAACATAAAGTGCACCTAATGAGGCACTTCTTCAGGAGACAGATGGTTCATCACCAGCTGTAGAACTTCGTGTGTCCTGTCTTGTGTTCTAGTTTTGCCTTTCAGTGATTTGTCCTATAGTTATTCAAGGCCAGCCTTTCCTCTGAGTTTAAAATTTGATTTCTAAAGCATATTTTATAAGATTTCAAAACATTCAAAAATAATTTTCAAAAAACTAGAAACAACCGTAGTTCTGTTTTGAACGTTTAGGCTTAATGAGAGACTGCTCTTCGATTTTATTTTCTTATGCATAGGGTAGTGGTGTCTGAAACTTAAAGTTAACTACTGTTTCTCCTAAACTTAATTTTTCAAGGCATCTACTACATTCATTTACAAGTGAGGCAAAAAGAAAAGATCCAAGTTATTTCTATTCCAGTTTCTACCTAGGTATGCAGAAATGTGTATTAAAATTGCTTGGGTGCATCCAAGGACGTTGCTTTTCACTGTTTCATATTCATTTGCAAGGCCCATCTGAGGGCTTTAGTTCGTGTTCTTAAGGAAGATTGACCTGTGGAGAGAAGATTGATGCCAGTTAATATCTTTCACCCATTTTTAGGATAAATTTCTAATTAGAATTGGTCCAAGTCTATTGTAATTAAAAGTATTTTCAGGTTATATGAAGTTTAATGAGCATCACTAGTCTAGTTCCTAGTTTTTCCACAAGAATTGATGGCAAAATAGACTAGCAATTGAATAAACATGGAGGTTGAACTATCATGTTTAGGATTTGAAGCATAGTGGTTGAATATCAATAATGACTTTCATTTTATGCCTGGCATCAATAATGTTGTGGATGTTTTGATCTTTCGAATGGTAGAGAAAGAACAACTTTCACGTGGCTCCTCCTGTTGTGAATTTTGAAATAAGTGTTTCAGAAAGGACACCTTTTTTTTTAAAGTGCTCAAATCTGTGATTTTTTTCTTTCCATGCTGAGTTTTGGTCAGTACAGAGTCCAAGTAAAGTCTGTATTATAATGATACTTAAATTTATCTGTGGCCCTAAACCTATTAGAATAATTGTAGTAATTTATAAGTTATAAATTTTAAGTGGTTAGTGTACTTTGTTGTGAAAAAAACTCAGGTCAGACTAATTTCCCTCATATTTAACATCATTTTCCTGAAAACAAAGATTTTTAAGTGGTAAGGTTTTGTATTTGAAATTGGATATTGACCCAATAATTTATGAGCTAAGTCTGGGTCCCTATTTCTGTTTAATATTTAAAGATCTCTTAGAGAATTGTTTTTATTTATTTTGTGTCAAAACTTTTGAAATGTGATCCCAATTGTCATATCTTCAATATCTGCTTATTCTGATTATTTTAGTTCAGATTTTCTCAAGTGATGTTTAAAAATTTCCTTCTAAGAAGTTTTGGAACCATAGCTTAAGAATTAGAATTAGGTTTGTTATTTTCTTGGTAATATTAAAAGGTAATATTAAAGGCCGGGCATGGTGGCTCATGCCTGTAATCCTAGCACTCTGGGAGGCCGAGGTGGGAGGATCTCTGGAGGTCAGGAGTTTGAGGTTGCTGTGAGCTAGGTTGATGCCACGGCACTCTACCCTGGGCAACCGAGTGAGACTCTGTCTCAGAAAAGAAAAAAAAAAAAAAGTTAATATATGTTTAAATTTTTTAGGATAAAAATCTGAAGTAGGATAATCTCTTGATTTGAACATATTAGAAAGAGGAATCTTGTACATAATAATAAAAAAACTACAGTTCTTCAGAGCATATTTGTTAAATGAATAAAAACTTTATTTCATTTAATTCTTCTAGTTATGCTGTAATATTGGAAGTGTTGTCCTCATTTTACATATGAAGAATCTGAGGCTAGGAGAAGCTAAGTAACTAGCAAAAAGGTCACATAATTAATAGGTAAAAGAGCTTACCAAACCCAGGTCTTGTGACACAAATTAGATGCTTTACTACTGCTACATATGTGTCACAGTTAAACTTCAAAGCATCTTCTATGTTGACAGATTCCTTTTTTTGACTGAGAACAATATTTTGTAATACTATACTTGCCTTTCTTCTTCTTCTTATTATTGTTTGTGTCTTGCCAAATATTTACTTGTAAGACCGAGGAAGTATTTATTCATGTGAATCACAAAAGAAACACTTATTTTTGTTCTTAGCAGATCTGAATGCTATAAAATATAGAAACTCATACGTTTACATAGGACAGATTTGTGATATTGCTATAATTGTTTCATACCTTTAGTTATATATGCAGTTACTAAATTGTGCCTTTGAAATACTTTATGAAAATTAAAAATAACTTTAATAACATTCAGTGATGTTGAAGTTGGGTCAACTAATATGTGAAATTCTTCATTTATAATTTTTTTTTTTTAAGCCATAGATAATTTAGAATTCTGCAATATTTTTCATGTCCAGATCTTAGGATGTGAAATGGGAGTTTGATGGGGTCTAATCATTCTACTCTTATATATATCTTTAAAGTGCTTGGCATCCGACAAAGTAAAGAATAAACTGATAAATGATCTCTGTTTGGTGAACACCTCGGATCAGGATGTTCCTTGGCAGGATATTCTGACCTGGTTTAGCTTTGGCTCTGTCTACGCTGAGGGGTTCAGGTATTCTTCAGGATTGGATTCAGAGGGACTTAAATTCTCAGATTGGCCTACACCAGAGCAGTCATGGGTTTCAAAATCAGCATGTTCCCTAAGACCGTCTTTAAGATCTCCTTTGCTTTTGTTTAATCCTGAAACCTAGGCTGGATTTGGAGGTTATGATACAAGATTAATTTTGTCAGGCATTTATACAAAGGAATTCTTTCTGCTTCAAAATTTCTTGATATATCCCTTCTATTTTCAAGTGTGAAGTTTTATCAATCTCGAGTAATATTGCCCTGCATCCCTACGACAGTTAATTTAATATATTTATTTCTACTCATTGTTAGTCAGACTTGGGCCTGTTTACTTCTTACATAATATTTTCTAGTTTTTTTTATAATATTAGGTTAGACACTTCTTATCAGTTCATAATGTATAACTGATTGAGATTTGGGGAAAGAATTTTCCCCAGATTTGAAATCACCTTACATTCGTAGTTTTAAGCTGACTGAAATTACTTTCTGTCATAGAGGAATAAAAATGTTTTAAGACTCTTTTATATTTTTCTATGAGATTATTTACAAATGTATGTCAGAGCAGTATTCTTTTGACATTTATCAAGTTTTTTAGCAATGTTTTAAACTGATATCAGTATACCCCTACATTACTACTGTGTATATATGGTAATACTTTACTTTATAATTGCATTTTATCTTAAAAAAACTCCAAGATCTAAATAGCATTTGAACATGGTAGCAGTGTTTTTCAAGGAAGGGAGGAGTTTTAAAAGGGTTGGTTTTATCTACATATTAACATAAATTTTTTTTTAATTGAGGTGAGATTCATATAACAAAATTAACCACAGTGTAGTGGCATTTAGCACATCCACAGTGTTGTACAACCACCACCTCAGTCTAATTGCAAAACATTTTCATCACCCCAAAGGGAAACACTATACTCCCCATTCTCCCCTCCCCTAATCCCTGGCAGCCACCATTCTGTTTTCTGTTTTTGTGGATTTAAATGAAACTGTAATATTTTGAGTCAAGATTGAGAAAGAGTACTATGTACAATTGAAATCGCAGAAAAAACTTTGGGATGTGATTGTTAGGAATCAAAACCACCTCATTCTTTGCATGCTTCTCTAAGTACAGTAGGCATGCTGCCAGGGACTCTTTACGGAAGAAAAGTTGACAGTCGCAGCAATTTATAGTTTAGTGTTGATGACTCTGAAGGAGTTTTACTTAAACTCTAAGACTCATTTCTATTTTTGTTTCTTGGGTTGTGCGAACTAACTAAATTTTAATGTTATATGCAAATGTGAGCAACTAATACTTATTTGGTCTCT